GATGGGATAGCCTAATTTTGGCAATTAAGTGATCTTTGACTATTAGCGGTAAATATGCCCAATGGCCTGTGATGGGATGTTAGGTGGGGTGGGATCTGAGTTACTACAGAGAATTCTTTCCCGGTGTCTGGCTGGTGAGTCTTGCCCACATGTTCAGGGTTTAGCTGATCGCCATATTTGGGGATGGGAAGGAATTTTCCTCCAGGGCAGATTGGCAGAGGCTCTGGGGTTTTTTCGCCTTCCTCTGCAGCGTGGGGCAAGGGTCACTTGCTGGAGGATTCTCTGCACCTTGAAGTCTTTAAACCACGATTTGAGGACTTCAATAGCTCAGACATAGGTTAGGGGTTTGATACAGGAGTGGGCGGGTGAGATTCTGTGGCCTGCGTTGTATGGGAGGTCAGACTAGACGATCATAATGGTCCCTTCTGATCTTAAAGTCTATGATTCTATGATATCCCAAGAAAAAGAACTGGACAACTATAACACACTGTAATAGCACCACCTGGTGAACCTGCCATAATAATATTGTATATAAGAAAACATTGCATGAAAACACCCACCTAAGGCCAGGTCTACACTTACAAGTTTTGCAGACATACCTATGTAGTTAGAGTTATGATTTTTTTTACGACACTTATTCTGGCAAAAGCCCTAGTGTAGATGCAGTTATACCAACAAAAAAGTGCTTTTGCCAAATATAGCTTGTTTCATTCATTGAACCAGAAAAAGAGATACTGGCAAAAGCACTTTTGTGACCATATAACTGCATCTGTATTAGGAGGTGTGACGGGTTGAATCACAGAAACTCCCTTGGGGCTGCCACTGATGTGCCAAGACTACTTCTGCCCCTGCTTTCCTGCTCTGGCAGCTTAGGACTTCAGTGCCCTGCCTGGTTTGAGCCAGACCCGCTAGCCTGCTGCAAACCCAGACCCAGAGTCTGAACCACGTCCCCTAACAGCTGTAGGCTTAACTGAAAGCAACTTACAGAAGTATTCCTGTCTTTAACACTCAGATGTCCAACTCCCAATGGGGTCCAAACCCCAAATAAATCCGTTTTACCCTGTATAAAGCGTATACAGGGTAAACTCATAAATTGTTCGCACTCTATAACACTGATAGAGAGATATGCACAGCTGTTTGCCCCCCCCAGGTATTAATACATACTCTGGGTTAATTAATAAGTAAAAAGTGATTTTATTAAATACAGAAAGTAGGATTTAAGTGGCTCCAAGTAGTAACAGACAGAACAAAGTGAAACCAAGCAAAATAAAATAGAACATGCAAGTCTAAGCTTAATACAGTAATACAACAGAGTACTGATAATATCTCACCCTGAAAGATGTTTCAATAAGTCTTTTTCACAGACTGGATGCCTTCCTAGTCTGGGCACAATCCTTTCCCCTGGTACAGCCCTTGTTCCAGCTCAGGTGGTAGCTAGAGGATTCCTCATGATGGCTCCCTTTTCTCTGTTCCACTCACTTATATATCTTTTGCATAAGGCAGGAATCCTTTGTCCCTCTGGGTTCCCACCCACCCCCTTCTCAATGGAAAAGCACCAGGTTAAAGATGAATTCCAGTTCAGGTGACATGATCACATGTCACTGTAAGACTTCATTACCCACTTGCCAACACACACATATACAGGAAGACTTACAGGTAAAACAGAGCCATCTGCAGTCAACTGTCCTGGTTAATGGGAGTCATCAAGATTCCAAACCACCATTAATGGCCCATACTTTGCATAATTACAATAGGCCCTCAGAGTTATATTTCATATTTCTAGTTTCAGATACAAGAGTGGTACATTTATACAAATAGGATGATCACACTCAGTAGATTATAAGCTTTGTAATGATACCTTACAAGAGACCTTTTGCATTAAGTATATTCCAGTTACATTAGCATATTTTCATAAAATCATATAGAGTGCAACGTCACAGGAGGGTTTGGCCAGCATTGCTATACTGGCAAAATTCATGTGTGTGGCCAAGGCTTTAAATTAGTGTTGGCTTGTAATGGCTAAGTGTTTCCTTTATACAAAATGTTTATTCTAAGAAACAAAAAGTGAATGCTAAACATAAGACCAAACTATGCTCTTGGGTACATCAGAGCTGTCATGGAAGTAAATGAGAATAGAGTGCAAAGCTCCAAAGACAGATATTGATCTCTTTTAGTAAATGCATGAACCCTTCCAATTTTTATTTTACATGATTCAACTGAAGAAAAATTATTCCCCAAACCCCAGTCTTGATGGACCTCCACCATTCCTGCAGGGAGTCCTGTTGATTTTAGTAGGGCTCACCCCTTCCCACCTGACAAATTGGGGCTGTGCAGGGCCTCACTGGGGACTGAAAGGGTGGCTCACCCCCCACCCCAGTGGGACAGTAGAGGGTTCCCAGAGGGATGGAGGGGGATAATCCCACACACACATGCAATAAGGCAATGGAGGGGCTCACCCCCCCCCCATACATATACATACTAACTGGGGCATGACACACTGGGGCATGACACGTTGTGCAGTCTATATGGTTTTATAAAAACATGATAAGAAGTGAATATAATGTAACTGGGATAGTTTTAGAAAAATATGGTAATAAGTGAATATAACGTAACTGGGATATGCTTCATGCAAAAGGTCTCTTGTAAGGTATCATTACAAAGCTTATAATCTACTGAGTATGATCATCTGATTTGTATAAATGTACCACTCTTGTATCTAAAACTAGAAATATAAAATATAACTGAGGGCCTATTGTAATTATGTAAAGTGTGGGCCATTAATGATGGTTTGGAATCTTGATGACTCCCATTAACAAGGACCATTATCCGCAGATGGCTGTGTTTACCTGTGAGTCTTCCTGTATATGTGTGTGCTGGCAAGTGGGCAATGAAATCTTGCAGTGACATGTGATCATGTCACCTGAACTGGAATCCATCTTTAACCTGGTGCTTTTCCAGTGAGGGGGGGTGAAAACCCAGAGGGACAAAGAGTTCCCGCCTTATGCAAAAGATATATAAAGGGGTGGAAGAGAACAGAGAGGGAGAGGAGCCATCATGGAGAAGCCCCTAGCTAACACCTAAGCTGGAACAAGAGCTGTACCAGGGGAAAGAATCGTGCCCAGGCCTGGAAGGTGTCCAGTCTGAGAAAAACTTACTGAAGCATCTCTGAGGGTGAGATTATCTGTATTTAGTTTGATTAGGCATAGATTTGCGCATTTTATTTTATTTTGCTTGTGACTTACTTTGTTCTGTCTGTTACTACTTTGAACCACTTAAATCCTACTGTCTGTATTTAATAAAATCACTTTTATTTAGTAATTTACTCAGAGTATGTATTAATACCTGGGGGAGCAAACAACTGTGCATATCTCTCTATCTGTGTTATAGAGGGCGAACAATTTATGAGTTTGCCCTGCATAAGCTTTATGCAGGGTAAAACGGATTTATCTGGGTTTAGACCCCATTGGGAGTTGGGCATCTGAGTGCCAAAAACAAGCACACTCCTGTGAGCTGTTTTTGGGTAAACTTGTAGCTTTGGGACAAGTGATTCAGACCCTTGGTCTGTGTTGGAGTCGGACAGGAGTGTCTGGCCTGGCAAGACAGGGTGCTGGAGTCCTGAGCTGGTAGGGAAAACAGAAGCAGGGGTAGTCTTGGCACATCGGGTGGCAGCTCCCAAGGGGGTTTCTGTGATCCAACCCGTCACAGGCCCCACCCCCCACTCACTACATTCCCCCTCCCTTCGTGGCTCGCTCTCACCCACCCTCACTTACTTTCACTGGGCTGGGGCAGGGGGTTGGGGTGCGGGAGGGGGTGAGGGCTCTAACTGTGGGGTGGGGCTCTAACTGTGGGGTGGGGCCAGAAATGAGGGGTTCAAGAGGAGACTATGGGTTGGGGCAGGGAGCTGGGGTGCTGGGGGGGGTGAGGGCTCTGGCTGGGGGTGCAGGCTGTGGATGAGGAGTTCAGAGTGTGGGAGGGGGCTCTGGGCTGGGGCAGGGGGTTTGGGTGCGGGGGGGGATTTGGACTCTGGCTGGGGGTGCAGGCTCTGGGCTGGGGCCAGGGATGAGGGGTTTGGAGTGCAGGAGGAGGCTCTGGGTTTGGGGAGGGGGCTCAGGGCTGGGTCAGGGGGTGGAGCGTGGGCTTACCTTGGGCAGCTACCAGGCAGCGGCACAGTGGGGCTAAGGCAGGCTTCCTGCCTGTCCTGTCTCCGTGGTGCCCCCTCCGCTTCGGAGCTGGAGGCTGCTTCCGGTATGCAGCGCGGTGCCAGGACAGGTAGGGACTAGCTCCACACACTTACACAGACATTGGGGGCAGGGCCGGGTCCCCTTTGGGATTCACCCCCTACCCCCAGGGCAGTGCAGGATCTCCCCCTGGGGGCTCACCCCCACATGCACACACACACTGGGGCAGTGCAGGGTCCCCTTTGGGATTCACCCCCTTCCCCCAGGGCAGTGCAGGGTCTCCCTGGGGGCTCAACCCCCCACAGTGGGGCAGTGCAGGGTCGCCCCCTGGGGGCTCATCCCCCACATACACACACACACACACACTGGGGTAGTGCAGGGTCCTCCTGGAGCCTCACCCTCATATACAGACTGGGGCAGTGCAGGGTCTCATCCCTCACATGCACACACACTGAGGCAGTGCAGGGTTTCCCTGGAGCTGGGGACTCACCCCCCACATACCCACACACGCTGGGGACTCACCCCCCACATACCCACACACACTGGGGCAGTGCGGGGTCTCCCTGGGGGCTCGCCCCCCACGTACACACACACACTGGGGCGGTGCAGGGTCTCCCTGGGGGCTCATCCCCCACGTACACACACACACTGGGGCGGTGCAGGGTCTCCCTGGGGGTTGGGGGGTCTCATGCTGGCACTAGGGCTGGCTCTGGGTTCTCTCCCCTGGCGCGGCGCCGGGGCCGGCCGGATAAGGCGGCGGAACCCCGCACGGCGGGCCGAGTTGTGCGGGGAGGACTGTGCGGAGGGACTCGGGGCCTGGCACGCCGGTGAGAGCGGGCCGGGCTCGCTGGGTCGGGCCGGCGGCGGGAGCGGGGCGCCATGGCCGTGGACATCACGCTGCTGTTCAAAGCCAGCGTGAAGACGGTGAAGACCCGGAACAAGGCGCTGGGGGTCCCGGCCGGCGAGAGCCCCAGGGATGAGCTGCTCAAGCGGGGCAGCCAGCGGCCCAAGAGCGACTTCTCCTGCCGGGCCCGCGAGGTGGTGAGTGCGGGGGCCGGCGTAGGGACTGCCCCGGGGAGGGGACCCAGGAGTCCGGGGAGGAAGATGGTTATGGGGGTAATGGTAGTAACAGCCAACAGCCCCGTCTGCATAGGCGCCGAGCCCCCAGCCAGCCCCCCTCCGCAGCTACAGGTGACCCGCAGATTAGTGCCGTGCAAAGTGATGGGGGGCGGGGGGGGCTGACTTCTCTTCTCTTCTCCCCCCTTTTACTTCGTGCACTTGGCAACCCTCCAGGCACTGGTCTCTTTCCCCTTTATAGCCCCCTCGTCCTGCCAGCTGCGGTGCCCAAGGAGTCCGTCGGTGGCTCTGCGTGGCTGCAAGGCTCTGTTCTCGCGGGTCAGATTGCAGGATGAGGGTTTTAGGAGGAGGTTTTTAAATGGCTCAGTTCCCACTAAGACCCAGGTGCTGGCCGGGCACTTCTGAAAAATCTGCCCAGTGGTCGTTTACTTTCTGTTGTTTGTGTGGGACTTTCACGCAAGAAAACGAGAGAAAGAAAACATTAGAATAAATAAAATAATAGCAAACAGTATGATTGTAAAACTCTCAGCATTTGGGGTGGGGACTCAGGAGAACTTAAAACTACTCTCAACCCTTAAAAAAAAAAACGGACTAGTTTTCCGGTGGACATTATCCCTTTTAAACTAATCCCTCCCCCAAGTGAGTTGGCAGATCCTCAGTAAGACATGCATATTGCTTATCATAATGACACGTAGTACAGTCTTTGGTGATGTTATATAGCCTCTAGTCTGTACTCATCAGTGCTGATTCTGTTGCCTGCAAGGACCAGAATTTCCAAAGACAGAGTCATCTCCTTTTCAGTAGGCCCTGCTCCGGCAAACATTTATGCATGAGTGTAAATTTACTACTATGAGTAGTGGTATAGGAGTTACTTAAGTTTATTCACTTAAGTAGTTCTAGTATGTGCATAATTACCGGTAGTTTTTCAGAATTGGGGCCATAAACACTATCAGTAGTTTTCTTGACCACTACTCATGCATAGCTGGGTTGCAGATTTATGTATATGTTCTGTGTGCAGATAAATGTTACACACCATACAGGTGCCATAACCAATAGTGCCATAACCATGTTTATAAATTGTATTCACCACGATCCTTTTGACAGCCATACCTGCCTTCTGTTCATTAATCTCCCTCTTTGGGATTTAGTCTGTCATTCCAACCATCTGAACAGCTTTAATGAAGTGCCACTTTTTAAAATCAACAACCAGAGAAATGTTTGTTTCTGGAGTTGTGGTTTTTTAAAAATAAATTTAATAGGCTAAATTCAATCCTGGTTTAAATATTGAAGTCAGTGGACTTGTACCTACATACACTAGAGCTGAAGTGACCTGATATATATAAATTAAATATATTACCTGCAGTTATTGGAAACAAAAATATGTATATTAGAGAGAAAATGTATTATTAAGAAATGAAAATGTTGTGACACTTTTGCTGGAAGGTATCCACAGAGTTGCACTTTTTGGCATAATGTCACAGGAATATTTTACTTTTGACAATATCAGAGATTTGCAGAAGAATGGATTTAGAGGTGGGAGCGAGAAAGTCTCTGAAATAAATATTTTTGTTAAAAATAGTAATGATCTTTCTATCCAGTTATTTATAAACTGAGATTTTACAGTCTAGCATAGGTAGTAATAATTCTTAAATTAAAATCCCATTTAAAGACTATTTTGTTAGTTTAAGATAATTTATAAAATTGTGATGGTAATTTAACTTTATCAAAACTGGAAGCTTGTCTCCAGGAAATCTCTCATCTTAAATCACTTAAAACTGTAGTCATAAGCACCAGAAAACTTCATGTTCCAGGTTTCTGGGTAATAGCATGAGTGCTGCCTAGGCAAGTGGAAGTGTCAGATTTCCTGCCTGCCAAACAAGGACAACAGGGTTGACTGGTAGTGGGTGACTGAACATGTACAGCAACACTGAGATGCCAGTTAGAGGGACTAAGTATGAATGGCACCTTAGGGCTAGTCTACACTGGCAATGCTAAAGTGCTGCCGCAGCAGCGCTTTAACGTGGCTTGTGTAGTTGCTCTCTCCCGGTGCTCTAAAAAACCCACCTCCACAAGGGGCGTAGCTACCAGCGCTGATGCACTGTCTACAATGGCGCTTTACAACGCTGAAACTCTTGTTCAGGGGGGTGAAAAAACACCCCCCTGAGCGCAGCAAAAGTTGCAGCACTGTAAATTGCCAGTGTAGACAAGCCTTTAGTCATGAACAGAGTAATAAGCTGAGCTGCCAGTTTGAGGGGAAGGAGGGATGAGCTTACCTGATCTCAGCCACATAGAAATTGCTTCAGAAATTAGTTGAACCAAGGATACGTGTTCTGCTAAGCATGCATACCTGAGGCTGAGTTCCAGTTTCAACATGATGCCTGGTCAGTGGTCTCTGGTGACTTCACAGGAGAGATTGGATATGGGCTTGTCAGCTACTTAAGTAGTTCAAAGTATTTTTGTCAGAATGGCAACCAACAGTTTAATTTTCCAGCCAAACCAGAGTAGGCTGTGTAGCAACCTTTAGGGCCTTGCAAACTTGGTCATAGCTGTTTTTTGGAGATATGGTTTGATATTAAGAGGGAGAATAATGCAAACTATAAGCTGCAGTCCGAGGCATTTATTTTTGCTGGAAAGGCAAGAGATGGTTGGCAAATTAAACTAAGTCTGGGTAGGGCTTGTAGTAAAATAAACTACACCGCTACCTCGATATAACGCTGTCCTCGGGAGCCAAAAAATCTTACCGCGTTATAGGTGAAACCACGTTATATCGAACTTGCTTTGATCCACTGGAGTGCTCAGCCCCACGCCCCCCGGAGTGCAGCTTTACCGCGTTATATCCGAATTCGTGTTATATCGGGTCGCGTTATATCTGGGTAGAGGTGTATAGTTTAATTGTTTGCTACTGCAAAACACAATTTGATTTGATTATGTGGGAGAGAGAGCGCCTCTCTCTAATACTTTCTTACAGGCTTGCAATCACAAATTTAGCTGGTTTTGCCGGAGCTAGGCAATTTAACTTGCAAATTAATTGTTGATTTACACATTAACTCCTAAATATATTTGTATAAAAACTATGCATATAGGCTTGGTTGATTTAAAATAAAAAGATGTCGGGAACATATCAGACCACAGGTTTTGTCTTAAAACCTCTCCCAAAAGCTCATAAGTCAGAATCAGCAGAGGTTAATTCTGCAGGCCCTGGGCTGACTAAGCATAGTAGAGTATGCTGGGGAACAATAGAAATTTAGAACAAAGCACAGTTTTCACAATTTATGGAACACTAAATATCCATGTCAGAAAGATGAAATATTTAATGTAGTTTTCAGAAAATATGAGATGCTCACTGATAAGGGCTGACCTATTGCAGTCTATTTGATTCCTTATAGGTTCTTGTACCACCTTCCGTCACCAATGTGTCAGAGCACCTTCCAGTAGTTCATTAAGCAACATAACTAACATCTGTCATATATGGTTTGTTCTCTCAGCTTCTTCTCAGGGGCAAACTTCTGTGTGTTGTGTATTGTTTAGGTAGGCTTGTTTGTTTATAAATAATTACACGGTACTGTGTGTTTATGCTAGAGAAGGCAAGATCAAAGAAGTGTGCCTTGCACTTGGAGCAGAAGGTGGTGAAGGTTGTGATGGTCCTTATTTTCTGTGGAAGTTTGTTCCTCAGTCTTGGACCAGTCTGCAAGAAAGCTCTACGTTCTGCACAGATGAGTTTTTCCCTTATGGTAGAAAGTTCCACTGCGTGTGAAAAGTAGAGTAATTGAACCATGTTCCTCATCACAACAGTTTAGACAATCTTTTAGATATCCTGGTCCCTGACAGTTGAGTGTCTTGAAGATAAGGACCAAGACCTTGAACTCAACTCAATATTCCATGGGAAGCCAATGTAGAGAACAGAGGGATGTGCTCAAGGTAACTCTGGTTGGTGGATTTATTTAAATCAAAGCAATGTAAATCACCGATTTAAATCATGATTAAAATCAGCAAGCAGGAAACCTTGATTTAAATAATCCATTATAATCGTGTTTTGCATTTGTACTTTTTAGTTACTGTTATGAGCTGGGTGAACCCTTGTTATAGGTCGAGTTAAACCCTGCTGAGAAGGATGGGTGTGAACTGAGCCTTGAATTAACATAACTATAAGAATAAATTAATCACAAGCCCTTACCTACGATTAAAGGGTTATGTGAACCTGCCCATGAGTTTGGACTGAATGGGTGGGTGCGGGGTTTGCTGAGTATTGTGTGAGAGAGTTTGAGAAAATAGATAGAATACAGAGGACCAGAGAATGATATAGCTGGAAGGAGCAGCTGGAAGTCCAGTGTTTGACCTTGAAAGAAAACTGGGGAGAGGTTTTTGGGTCAGGGGTGCAGGATGAAAAGAGTGCTCTTGGTGCTGTGAGGAAAAGAAGCTGTTTCCTGCTTGATTCCTTCTGCATTCAGAAACACATTTGTAAATAAACCAAACTGCATCAACAAAATACCTGTCTATCACCAATTTCTACTCCCAGCTGGAACAAACCCAGGGCCCCAAAGTTTGACTAGCTGCTCAGATCAAAAAGGGGCAGCGTTATTTTCCTAAAGAAAGGTTGATTCTCATTAGTTGGTAAGCATTAAAACATGTTGAAATCAACATAAATGTGGCCTCTACTCTAAATTTGGTGCTTCTTTTTGCTAACTAGGAGGATGCATTATATCTATACACATTTATTTAAACAATTATGTAGCTTAATTTACATTTATTCAGATTCTTAATTTTTCTTTTTTTTAAATTGTTAGAAAATGGTGAATGATTAATTTCTTATTTAGTAGAAGAGGATTAATTCTTTATTTGAGATTGTTTTATGTCAAGCTCTATTTGGATGGAAATTCAAATTCAATTGAATGCATAAAATCAACATTTTAATCTTTTGATTAAATATATATGGCAGCCGACCGTCTCTAAAGACTATGGTGTAA